TGGCCCTGGGCTAACATCCATGCCCATCTTCCTCCACTTTATATGGGACGCCGCCACAGCATGGCTTGACAAGCAGTACGTTGGTGTACGCCCAGGATCCGAACCAGCGAGCCCCGGGCTGCCGCAGCGGAGCGCATGCACTTAACCGCTTGCGCCACCAGGCTGACCCCTATTGTTGAGTTTTAATGGTACTTGAAACATTCTGGATACAAGTCGTTTGTTAGATATGTGATTTGCAAATATTTTTCCCCAATCTGTGGCTTGTCTTTTCATTCCCTTAAAAAGTGTCTTTTACAAAGCAAAAGTTTTTCATTCGATAAAGTACAATTTATCGTTTTTTTCTTTCATGGATCAGGCTTTTGGTGTTGTATCTAAAAACTCATTGCCAAACCCAAGTCACATAGATTTTCAACTGTATTTCCTTCTAGAAGTTCTATACTTTTACATGGTCTTTTTGAGTAAATTTTTGTGTGAGATGTGAGGTATGTGTTGAGGCTCATCTTTTTGCATATGGATGCACCATTTGTTGAAAAGACTTTCTCCATTAAATTGTCTTTGCACCTTTGTCAAAAACAAGTTGACTACACTTGTGTGGCTCTGTTTCTGGACTCTCCCTTCCGTCCCGATGGTCTCTGTGTCTGTCCTTTTGTCCACATCACACTGTCTTGATTACCGTAGCTTTGAGGTAAGTCTTGAAACTGAGTAATTCTGATCCTCCAGCTCTGATGTTCTTCAGGATTTTTCTGACTCTCCATGTACATTTTAGAATCAGCTTTTCAGTATCTGCAGAAGAGCTTGTTGGATGTTCTGATTGAGATTGTGTTGAATCTAGAGATCAAATCGGGGAGAACCGACATCTTAGGAATACTGAGTCTTCCAGTCTGCAAACATGATGTCTCTCTATTTATTTAGGTCGTCTTTGATTTCTTTCATCAACATTTTATAGTTTTCCACATACAGATTCTGCATATATTTTGTCAGATTTTTATCTATGCACTTTTTTGGGATTGCTATTGTAATTTTTTAAATTCAGATTACAGTTGTGCATTGCTGATATATAGACATACAGTTGACTTTTGTATGTTGATCTTGTATTCTGTGACCTTGATAAACTCACTTGTTAGTTCTGAGAGGTTTTTTTTTTTGTAGATTCTTTGGGATTTCCTATATAGCCAATCATGCCATCTGTTTTATTTCTTCCTTTCCAATCCATAAGCCTTTTTATTTCTTTTACTTGCCTTCTTGCACTAGCTAGGACTTCCCCTACAGTGTTGAATAGGAGCGGTAAGAGGGAGATCCTCATTTGTTCTAAACCTTAGGGTGAAAGTGTTTAGACCGGCCTGGTGGCGCAAGCAGTTATGTGTGCGCGCTCCGCTGAGGTGGCCCGGTTCGGATCCCAGGCGCGCACCGACCCACTGCTTCTGAGGCCATGCTGTGGCTGTGTCCTATATCAAGTGGAGGAAGATGGGCCCGGATGTTAGCCCAGGGCCAGGCTTCCTCAGCACCAAGAGGAGGATTGGCAGATGTTAGCTCAGGGCTGATCTTCCTCTCTCTCACACACACACAAAATAAATAAAATAAAATAAAATAAATAAAATAATATAAAATATAATAATAAAATAAAAATATAGTTCAGTCACTCATCCCAAAGGATGATCTTGGCTGTAGGTTTTTCACAGCTACCCTTCAGAGGCTGATGAGTTCCCTTCTCTTGCTAATTTGCTGAAAGTTTTTGTCATGGATGGATGTTGGGTCTTGTCCTGTGCTTTGTTGTGTGTCTCTTGATACTGTCATAGGGTTTTTCGTATCAAGTCTGCTAGTATGGTGAATTACACTGTGGGTGTCTGAGTGTTGAACCAGCCTTGCATTTCTGAGATGCAATTGGTTGTGATGTATTTCTTCTTTGTGAGTTTTGGTAGTTTTGTCTTGTAAGTAATTGGTCTCTTTCATCTAAGTTGTCAAATTTATGGTCTTAGATTTGTAGTATTCCTTTATTATCTTTTTAATGTCTGTAGGATCCACAGTAGTATTCTCATTTTCATTCCTGATATTGGTGTCTTCTCTCTTTTTCTTGGTTATTTTGGCTAGAGGTCTATCAATTATGTTGATCTTTTCAAAGAACCAACTTTTGGTTTTATTGATTTTCTCTATTCTTTTCTTGCTCTCATTTTCATTGATTTCTGTTCTTGTATTTTAAAAAATTTCTTTCCTGCAGCTTGTTTTGTGTGTAATTTGCTCTTTTTTTTCTGACTTCTTAAAGTAGAAATTTAGATTTGGGACCTTTCTGTTTTTCAAACGTGAGTATTTCACTGTAAATTTTCCTTTAAGCTTCAACAGCATCCCACAATTTTTGATATGTTGTGTTTTCAATTTTCATTCAGTTAAGAAATATCTTGTAGTTTCTCTTGTGCCTCTTTTTTTTTTTTTTTTTTAATTCATAGTTTATTTAGAAGTGCGTGGTTTAATCACCAAAGATTTGGATATGTTTCCAAGTAATGTCCTATTACTGATTTATAGTTTAATTCTATGTGGTCAGCTAACATACTTTGTAGATTTCATTTCTTTTTGATATATTTGTTTTATGAGTCACAATTTGGTGTGTGTTGGTGACTGTTCCACGTATACTTGAGAATTATATATATTTTGCTGCTGGGTAGAGTGTTCTAAAAACGTCAGATAGTTGTGTCTTCCTTTTGAGTACTACACGGCAGTCCGTAGTGTCAGCTAGGTCAAGTTAACTAATCCATACATAGAATATGGACCCACAGGGATCAGGTTGTCCGTTTCCATATACGTAGCTTTGTCGTCAGGTTCGTGTCCGTTTGCTGACCCGTCTCACATGCACTGTCCTTTTGTATCCCTTGTAGTACTCCTTGCTTTTATGTCTATTTTATCTGGTTTTAATATAGCCATCTAGCTTTTTTTGATTTGCGTTAGCAGGATGTATCTTTTTCTGTGCTTTTCTTTTAACTAACCTATGTCTTTATATTTAAAGTGGATTTCTTGTAGACAGCATAGATTTCAGTCCTGCTGTTGTATGCAGTCTGACAATTTCTGTCTGTATTCCTGTGTTTGGAACTTTCCCGTGTAGAGTGATGGAGTAAAATCCACCATCTCGCTAGTTATTATTCTTTGTTCCTTGTGTTCTTTGTCTTTTTTCCTCTTTTCCTGCCTTCTCTTTGGCTAATTGAACGTTTATATGATTCCATTTTAGTATCTGTATTGATTTATTGCTTAGAATTGTTTAAAAATTTTTTTTGCTCCCCAACAGGACTTAAGATATACCTTTTAAGTTAACTGAGTCTCCCTTCACGTAGTAGTGTGCAGGCATGCCCCACTTCATGGTGGTCCCCACTTCATGGCAGTAGTCTGGACCGGATCCCACAGTAGCTCTGAGGTGCGCCTGTGCTGCTCTCTGTGTCGTGGAAGGTCCTTCTGAGAGCGTAGTCCCCATGTCTCCCGCCAGCCTCTGTGCTTTGTCTCCTGTGTGTCACTCACATTGCTACAAGCACAGGGTTCGTTGTCACTGTTCCTGCTCTAGACCGGGAGTCGCATGCTCTCCTCCGAGGGTGGATGGCAAATGTTACACCTCTCAGCCTGAACCCCCACCGTGTTCCCTACCTCCACCTCAGCCCTGCCCGTGGTGCATTTTCTTTTTTGTGAGGAAGATCAGCCCGGAGCTAACATCCATGCTAATCCTCCTCTTTTTGCTGAGGAAGACCTGCTCTGAGCTAACATCTATTGCCAATCCTCCTCCTTTTTTTTCCCCCCCCCAAAGCCTCAGTAGATAGTTGTATGTGATAGTTGCACATCCTTCTAGTTGCTGTATGTGGGACGCGGCCTCAGCATGGCCGGAGAAGCGGTGTGTCGGTGCGCGCCCAGGATCCGAACCCGGGCTGCCAGTAGCGGAGCGCGAGCACTTAACCGCTAAGCCACGGGGCCGGCCTGCACAGTACATTTTCATTTGCTGTGGAAACGCACAGCATTGTTTAACTTTCTACAAAGCGCGGCTGTGTTCACGGATCCACATCCCCTTCAGTGTGAGTGCTTTCCACCCGGCGTGTCTCCACGGTCGTCCCTGGCGTAGGGAGCTGCCCCGAGGCCGCCTTTGGTCCTGCCTCTCCTCTCTTGGGCCGTGATTTCCCTCTTCTGCACGTTCACAGACAGAGTGCTGCGCTCACTCCCGTAGCCTCTATGTGCAAACATGTCTGTGCAAACACTAGAGCCCAGGGCACGTGGACATGCTCTTGTGGGGGTAATGAATTCAGAAACTCGTGGTTTGAAGGGAGGGCAGTCCTGCCTCACATGAAAGCAGTATCGTGAGCTTCAGGCACGTCCTAGGAGCAGCACTGCCCGGACCCCCAGTTATCAGGAGGTATTTTACGGTGGCGAATGCTGAGTGCCATCTGGATGGAGACTAACCACTTAAACGTGACCGGGCCCATGTTCACTGTAAATGCACGCCTGTTTTATATGTATGCACGCAATGAGTACGAGCAGATACAACACATCTAGGCATATGTACATGTCCATATACACGGTGACTCCCCCCAGATCCTGAGACATACTCAGACCCCTTGAGTCCATGCTTGGATTCCAAACCATTGGTCACACTCTGCCTCGTCTTCTCGCCAGCCAAGCCCCCTGCTCATCTGAAAAGCGCCCATGGGTGCCCACAGACAGTGTGTTCCTGCCTGCATTCCTTTTGTCTTCTTTTTCTTCCAGTTGTGGCGTTCTTGGTGGCCTTCCGTCAGAACAAGCAGCTGATTGGAGACAGCGGCCTGCTGCCCTGCAGACTGTACCTGAGGAGTGTGCAGCAGCACTTCCAGGGGTGGGCCGGCTGGGACGCCGTGAGCTATGCCCCGACACTCATCTGGCTGCTGGACTGGTCACACATGGATGCCAATCTGGACGCCATCGCGCTTCTCGGGTTGGGCGTCTCATCTTTTGTCCTGGTCACTGGCTGCGCCAATATGGTTCTCATGGCTGCTCTCTGGGTCCTCTACATGTCCCTGGTCAATGTGGGACAGGTCTGGTAAGTAGGAGGCACTGGGCACTGTAATCCAGGCATGCTGTAACTCAGCGTCCGGGGATATTACACCCAGAACGGACGGCAGTCTCCTGGCAGCTGGAGAGACTGCGCTAGCTTTCTCTTACATTAGTCCAGAAGAATGTCGTTATTTTAATTAGGCGGTGGTGGAGACTGCTACTCGAAATCAACCCACATCCTTCTGTGGGAATGATCACAGTACGGCTGGGAGCGGCCTGACCGCACCTGAGACCATGTTGCTAGTCTCGTGGGGCCGGGGGACCGTGAGATGGAGGTGGACGTGGCTGAGCGAGCTCTGGGAGCACCTGGTGGCGGGGCTTGATCTGGAGGCTTACTGCTTCTGCTCCTCCCCTGCCCCTTCCTTGTCAGGAGGAACCATTACCAGCTCGTACCGGGGGTCACAGATCGGGCCAGCCCTGCGGGGCAGTAGGCTCCAGTGCCAGACCCATCAGAGATGGTGGTGGCGCTCCTGGAGGTGCCCTGTGGGAAGGCAGGCAGGCGCGTCAGGCAGGGTGGCTGGGGGCCTGGATGAAAGTCCGGGGGCCATGAGGTGTTGTGGTGTGTTTGAGTGGGTCAGAGGAGGGGGATCCATTCTTCATTCAAGTTTGAGTTCCAGAACAGGGAAGAACCACCTACCAGAGGAAGCAGAGGACTCTCTCAGGGAAGATGAAGCCTCTGCGGTCGGGGGCCGGCATCTGTGTAGACGTGCAGGAAGCAGATGTGGGGGTCAGTGTCTGTGTAAACGTGGGGATCAGTGTGGATGTGTCGGGGTCTGTGTAGACGTGCAGGAAGCAGACGTGGGGGTCAGTGTCTGTGTAGACGGGTGGGAATCTGTGTAGACATGTGGGGGTCTGTGTAGACGTGCAGGAAGCACACATGGGGGTTGGTGTCTGTGTAGACGGGTGGGGATCTGTGTAGACATGCGGGGGTCT